TGGTTTAAATGGTCATTTCGAAAAAACCTCGCCTTAAAATTCCTAATCCCCGAATCCAATTCAGTATCAAAGACAACCGCAGAAATCAGTGACGCTTAAGGGATTCCTTCAATATATTAATTAAACTTATCCTTATATATTATTAATGTGGTGTTAAACAAATTTCCTCCAAGAAACGACATCGTTATTCATATTTTATAGCGAGTGTACTTTCCTCATACATAGTTGATCTGTCCAAGGATTTCCCGTTTACAAAATCAGGTTTTTCACCACCTTTAAGGGAAAACATAAAGTAGGAATCTATTAACTATTAGTTACATAATCGAGCTAGTATTGTGTGTGTAGATTTAAATTTGTATGTGTCATTTTACCTTTAGTAGTTCTACCTACTAAAACCCACTGGTGTACCTACCAGATGGTACACGTACAGACAAGCATTCATTAAATCAGTAAAAGAAGTTATTGGTAATACCTATCTTTATTATTGATGTTGTTTCTCTCCATCCACTGATTGCCTGGAAGAAATTGGTTTAAGCGATAACGCTTCCAGTTGTTACTTAATATTGTTAATTTACTTTGAGTTTTTATCAATCAATTGTGAAATGTCACCAATAAAGAATTGTGTATAGTATTGTATTTCCCTGGAAGATGTATACGAGAAGCTTGCATATAGGTATAATGGTACATTCGGTATTTCAGAGTTTCATAATACAACTACTACTTCATTTAGGATCTTGAGCATTGTATGTAATGTTGTTCAATATGTTTATTCATACTCACCTCCTCTAGGACATTCACACTGCACGCATTGCATGACGAATTCCAGAACATTTTGTCTTCATTCAAATGTCACTTTTCTCGGGTGAAAGTAACATTTGGAGTAAAATAAAGTTTCTAGAGTTTGTCATGTCTTGATAAATAATTTCTTGAAAAAAAGGTATTTTTAAAGAGCTTTTTTACCAATAAAGCATTGCACTTGAGGAATAATTGTTCCGAAATTGTACCGATACTGATGCTGCACTTAAAAACCTTAAGCACACTTAAATCCATGGTTTGACGATAATGTAGTGGCTTCTGATATATTTGGTAATTTTATAATATGTACAACCGTTTTTATTTTACATCGTATGTACCTATCCATACTTTTTCATTCGTGAAAGCAGTTTATTTTCAATGTTCTCGTCCGCTATTTTTAAATACAAAATCATACAAAACTGATTTTAACGAACAGATTCAAGCCCACGCACTGATATTATTTATGTTTTTTGTGTTTTTATAATCTTTTATTCCAGTCAACAAAAAGTAAAAACACAACACAGTGTATATTGCATCTACAGTTGACCAACCAACTCAATTCGACCTGGATTCCAGGAGTATTTTTAAATTTATCGCATGTATAAAAGTGGCAACGTGAACCAAATAAATTCAATGTGTACAAAATATATTTTTATGAACAAATGTAAATTTTAGTGACACAAAACATTGTACATGCAACATCCAGAATAAAAAACGAAAATTATGCAGCTTTGCCAGCGTCTCTAGTATTATTTTATTAATTATTTTTTATGGCTTTTGACAAGTCTTATTGTTTATCTGTTACTAGCTGTAACCCCCGCCTTCGCCCATTGGTCGGGCATTCGACTCCAGTATAGCAGGCCATTGACAATGCACGTTGGCCTGCTATACTGAAGTCTTAAACTAATCTTAATTAAAAATCTGTCAGTATACATCCACCTTTATATCGTCATCATTAGCTTATCAGCGTCATCACTGTTGGGGCATAGCCTGCCCGATAGATAGAACCAAATATTAAAAATCTTCCGCTGTTTCTGTGGATAATGTGCATGTCTTCATAGAATGAAGCTCTTCTTTCCGTTTTATTGTGAAATACTATCGACACGCCTTGCAAAATATAAATGATATTATTGGAAAAAACGCAAAATTGAAGACGTAAGCTTTGTTTGATAAAAATCGGAAAAAATAAAGACTGCAAATACATAACAAAAATCAAAATTCGTTTTAAAAGTATAGTAGCATCATCTAGCAATCAGTAACGTCGGCTAAATATAACATTTTCGTGTGCCTAAACAACATAATATTTGCATTTATTATTAGCGACATGTTTTTAATTAAAACTTCAATTAAAAAAAAATATAATGAATCCTACGTAAACCTACGTTCAGTTTCATTTCTTTATGTGCTTTTTTCGGGGTACGATAAGATAGACTTATGCTGCCGCGGACATTTTTAAGAACTTTTAAAGGAGATTAATTTAATGACTATTGTCTACTTTCACCATTTGCGCATCGCACGCTAGGAAAGCTATCAAAAAGTAAAATATATTCTCATTTTTACAACATTTTTCATTGCTGCTTCAGTCCTATTAGTCATTGAGTGATGTTATATATCCTATAACCTTCCTCGATAAATGAACTATTCAACACAAAAAAAATCAATTCGTACCAGTAGTTCCTGAGATTATACAGTTCAACCAAACCAACAAACTCTTCAGCTTCATTATTAGTAAGTATATAGATTACTGTCTGTTGTGTTGTGTTCGTCCAAGTACTCTAAAATATATATTTTTTGCTAAATCCATAATTTTCTTTTAGTAATTAATTATACAGTCCAGGCTAAGCTATCGATATCGATATATCTACGTTCTAGGACTATATAAGAGCAATCGATCTTACGATTTGTTTACGAATATCGCAGCGCTTATACCTATAGTACTTACGCACGATTATAGCTTATGTCGGGATTGTTTATGAATTTTCGTACGAAACAAAATAACTGATTCCAAATACGAAATGCCATAAGTTTCTAGATCGTATATTTCTAGAAAAATATTTGTCTATTTCATAGTTATTATACTGTGATATAAACTTATCAATTGTACATACAATAGCATGTCGGATTATATAAAACTGACAATTTCCACTTGATTTTAAACCTTAACAGTTTGGACGTAGATTTCAAATCAATTGCAGAAATTTTACAAATTATAGTAAGTCAAGACCATGTGCTGCTGTGTAACAATAATAATAGATTATATTTGCGAAAATATGTTTTTTTTACATTTTACATACTATAAATTGTCGATTTTAAATGAATATAATAAAGTTAACTACCATAAAAAACGTACGCTAATCGCTAGGTTAATACGACACAGTGGGCTAATTGTCTATTTTAAAAAATGTATGGCACACCCTTTCAAAGGTGTAGCGATTGTTACAGCCATTTATAGAATTATGTAATGATTAAGTTGCATTCTCTTTTGGCAAGAATAATTTAAACGATAGGTATACCTGTCGAAAAATATCAGTTAGTATTCAACTCTATCATCTGACATACATCAATAGCTTTCAAAAAACGTCGCGATCGCAACCGCTATTACATGTCAAATAGTTGTATCGTGGAGTTTGTGAATATTGTGAATAATTCAATTTTTTTGCGTGAATACGTTTAATTAATAAATTCATATAAGTTTACATGATTTCATAAAATATCACAGTGAACCAATCAATAAAAATGGTAAATAGCTAAACGATGAAAAGAACAGAAGCTAAAAACTTGTATTTTTAGAAAACAAAAAAATCTAAGCATGATGTAGTTTTCGTTAGGATACGAGCTTGACGTAAAACATAATAAAGTGAAGAGCTTCGAAATAAATTAGTATACAACATACATTTTTTTTTATAAAAAAATTCAGTGCAGTTTCACTATTCCAGTGTTTATTTAGCTGCCGGCCGGCAACTGCAGATATTTCACCAATGTGTGGGTCCTAAAGTTTGGCACAAACACGTAAACCAGTTAAGTGAGGTAAGTTAAGTATTAAATTATCTGTCCATCTACGATCTACGAATTTCTACGAAAAATTCTACGAAATTATCTACGAAAAAGTCTTAACTAATTTTGCGTTGCGGTATATTAACATTAATTTTCTTTGATAAATATTTATCAGCGTCTTTTCCAATGCTTTCAATCGACAACCATTGTGTTGGTATCGTTATTTATATGCACATTCTGTTGTCGAAAGGAGGGTTATCATCAAGTTCAATGTCTAGCTAAATATACATATCGAAAAAGCAAAGGTTCTGAGAATTTTATCGTACAAACGTCCATTAGGGTTAGTTCTACAAACCTCCATTATAGTTTAATGACGACCTTAAACTCTAATGTATGTCCAAATAGTATGGATAATGCCGCTTTAAACAAATGACAATTTTAAAGGACGTTTGTTCAACTGGCAGTATGTAATGTAATAGTAAATGTAGTCATTACATTGTTTTTACAAATATAATTAGGTTGCAATATTTTACCACAGAACACTTTCTGTGTTATGTGGTCTATGGGTATTACCACATACCCATATTCAAAATCTGTTTTCCAATCAATAAACAATAATTATTTAAAAAAACCATATTACTATTTTTAAAGATGATCCTCTTTTCGTTTTCTACTTCAAAATAAAAAATATAGATCAAATTTCTTTACAGCAGTAATATTTTTTCTATTACAAAACTAATAGTTTTCAAAATTAGGTTTTTAAAAAAAATGTACTTGGGATTGCTTAATCTCTCGGGAAAAACTTGTAAAAAAACATTTGCGTATTCCAAATAAAAATATATTCGCCAAACTAAAAAAACGCACGTGTAGTTTTTTTGTATGCGAGTAAATAATGTAATTAACGTAGAAAGCGATTAGTAGAGGGGCTTACGGAGGAGAGCGCGCGACGCGGGCGCAGTGGCCCCGCGGATAGCGCTCATGCGGCCGCAGCTGACGACAGCTCGCCCGTACCCGCGCCCGCGCCCGTACCCGCGCCCGCGCCCGCTCCGCTCCACCTCGCACCGGCACACATCGCGCTGACCCCTCCTATAAAGCGGAGGCACCGCCACCACTCGCACGCAGTCACGAACCCACTATCTTAGTGCACTCGCGAGCCACGCGCTCAACACATAAATAGTTAATAGTGAAAGCAGTTCATCAGTGGTATAACTATGGCCGACGACTGGGGATACAGCTGTGAAAATGGTGAGTTGACTCTTCTATTAAGCGGGGGCGATGTTTACATGTTGCACCGTGCAGCGGTATAGACCGGTTTATTTACATCGAAGCACGTGACTACTCGCCATGTAAATAAAACTCTTCATAGTGAAAACAAACCATTAAACTTTTGAATAAAACGGCCATCATACTTTTTTATGATAAAAAAAAGGATTAGTAAACCATTAATAATAATTATGCATGGATAATTGAGTGACTTGGTACGTAAGCAAATTTATTTGTAAATTTTAATGACGTACGCAGGTATCATGAACTTGAGCACAAACACAAAATATTGGCGGATGTTGTTTTCTAGGTACTTGCAATATACGTATGTATTAGGTATTTAAAATACACCTGTTAATTATAATTTCAATACGGTACAAAATACGACTGTCAAGTCAAAAGACTATTTTTAGATTTTTGTGTAATTAATTTCTTATTAGGTAAATAGAGATAAAAACATGCAATTCAAAAGATTTTTTGCTTAATATTAATTTAAAAGTTTTTGTAATATTACACCGGTTTCGAAATTCACGCTAAACAACAAATTGTACTCATTTTACATAAACAAATACTTATATCAAAACAGGTTCTCTTTTATTTCAAAGAGGGTTTCATGAATCATCTCATTTCAATATACATGTACTTAACTGTAAATTATTTTTCTTTCACTACATAGATTAGATTGTCAGATCAAAATATCAAGCAAGCAAATAAATTTATTGAGTAACCTCTGGAATTAAAGTAAGCTCTGGAATTAAAAAGTGCAAACATAAATAAATCTTCAGATTGATAAGGAAATGCAGTATTATCTTAAAACACGTGCTTAGTCATTCTATTCCGAGTATACATAGTTTCATTATTATGTTTAAGGAAGAAAAGATAATTTAGAATCACCACTTAGCAGTCTAATCAGCTGGTTAAGTGAAGCGACTATTGAACTAAATGATTCATTAAAACTCAAAAGATTAGTTACTCTAAGTAACACACAATACATATATCATTGATTTAATTCAACGAGCATTTAATAATATTATTTTTTACTTTAAAAAATGAGGTAAAGGAATTGACAGATTAGATTAAATATAAATTATGTAAATAATTATGACAAGAAAAGTAAACTTGATATATAATAGTATACCGCAGTATAATTTTATTTATTACATTAAATTTAACTATTGAATAACGTTATTATAAATCCATTTTTTCGTAGTTTTGTTTAAAGAGCATATTGGCGCGAAAAAAACAAATTATATCGTCGATGGTAATTTATTTTACAAGAAGGGCTTGTCATTAGAAATTATTAAGGACAGCTCACCACAGATATTTACTTAATTCAAAAACAAAATCCACAGCAATGTCTTATCTTAATATATTTAATATCATATTAACCTATAAAAAAGAGACTTCGAAAATGTCCTGAAAGCTCTACAGAAGAGTAACAGATTGCCCTTTCATAACCAAAATTGAAATAGATGCGCACTAAAAAAGACATCAACGTAAGCTTTGTTAATAAAAGAATTATAAGGCGTTATTAGCATTCAAATAATATGTTTCACTTAGTTTATTAGTGTCTTATGAACATTTTATATACATTAAATAAATATAGAATTTAAGAAACTGTCGAAATTATTTATACTTTTTGCTATCAACTAAGAATGTTTGGTTGGTATCTCTTTGCCCTTAAAGGAATATAGGGTTTTTTGTGATATTAGTCAGAATTGTTCGAAGCCTTGACGTTTTATAGTTGGATATTATACAACAAATTTACGATACTATAATATTAAGGATTTTATTTATCCAACTGAAAGTTACTCTACGAATAACGATTCTAGAATTCACTCAGAAGTAGATTCAGAAAAGAGTCTTATTATAAATATTTTAACGCAATGATTATAAAATTGTCCTTAAATGTTCTATGAATCATTTATTAAAGTCATTATAACACTTTATATATTTCAAGTTCTTTATAAAACAATTCAGGATAAACTTATACAACCTTTTGAAAAGGAAAATTTTAGAATCTCATAATATCCTTATTACCGATAGAGTAAATCCACAATGTTTGCTAGGAAAACTGCCGGTTTATTTTTATAAAAATTTTATTGCGTGGAAAATTATATAAAATTCTAAGATAAACCTCGTGACTATGACTATACGTTTCTAGATAACAACTTAGCAATGTTATAAAATTATTAGCCGACTTCATAATTAAAGAGTGACTTAATTATAATAATATAACGATTAAAGTTGGTCTTAGTGATAGTGGTGATAGTTTGTAACAAACAATAAAACAGACATGTATGTTGATTAAAAGTACGCATATGACTTTCGAAAAAAAAAACAAATTTAAACGTTTTTTTTATGTAAAAATTATATTTAGGAAAACGTTATAATAACGTTAACATAATCTTTTCTTATATTTATATTTTTTACTTTAAATTTAACTTCCAAAGACTTTCTTTTATCGATTAACAAAAATATAGACTGAATAAAACATGTATTTATTACTATCAGCATATAAAGTAGATGTTCAAATACATCTCATTTACAAATACGAGCACTGTCTATTCCATAAGTGGTTTGTCGCCACGTGTCTGTATGTACAGTCAACAGAACGTCAGTTTATACAATTCTGTCAAAATTTCTTCATTTAATTTTAAACCTAATGGTGTGAAGGTAGAGTTTAAAATCAACTGGGGAAATTTAAGATATTATGGTAGTCTGATGTGTAGTCGTGTGTACACCGTATCTGTTAATGATAGATAGAAAACAGTTCATAAGTTTATATTAGTAACTAGCAGTTATTTTATATTCTTGCCTATAGAGGTACTCTCATTTGGTAAATCATAGAAGAACAACCATGTTTTCTGGGTAATTACAAGGTTCGAAACATTTTCGTGTATTCTAACGAGTTTAATACGTTATGTGGTTAAAGAAATTTTGAACTTTGTGAAATAAATATACAATATCCCTGTATACTATACGATAACTTTTGTTATATTAGTTGTTTGCACGATTAAAAACCCCTTTTTAAACGATTTTAAAAACTAAAACTAAACTAATTTTAGTTTTAGTTCTGTAAAACTGCATTTTCAATTGTGTAAATAACTTAGATAACAGAGTAAATTTATTATATTAATATCTGTTCTCCCGCAACTTCGTCCGCGTAAATTTTAACCTATGTCACACGCGTCTAACGTCTAATGTAGTTATTTCTATAGGTAAAATAGATTTTCATAATCGGATTAGTATTTCTAAAGATTAACTCCTACAGACAAACACACAAAGTTAAGTAACGTTACCTTTTTATAATATAATATATATGTTTTTCTTTGATAACATGTGACTAATTACTTTAAAACAAACCGAAACAAAACCTTTTTCTTATTTAGTTAAGTTTTTTACACTCTAAACTAAAAAAGAAATCAAAATTACAAAATATATTATAACAGAATTTACACAAATATCGGATTCGGAATACCATAGTTACATTAAGCGTAACTAATAGGATGCATCTGAGAATGAGCACATATGAATACTAGAAGTACTTGTCTAAAGGAATAATACCCAACATTTGTCTAAAAGCTAACATTTAGCACTAATAATAGATAATATTCTTTGTCGGTATGCTATATAATGCAATGTTATGCTATACGCTATTTGCTTGTTTTAAAAAATAAAAAAACATCAAAACCAGATGCCCCTTCGGCTACTTTAAGTTCAGTAAAGAGGTAAACAACACGCATTAGACTTGTGAAAACATCGCCTCTGAATACAATACAAAATGTGAGTACGTACAATCGACAATACGCCAGGTTACTATAAAAAGCTCACTTTTAAGAATAAATCTGTTTATTTATTACATTTTTAATTTGATCACAGAAATTTGGCCTGATATGTTACGTATTATACACAGTAGTGTATTACTGTACTGTACTGTACACTGTATTACTTTCACATTTATAATATAAGTATCAATTATAGACAACCAAACTAAAAAGATAGTTTAGTTTTAGTTCTGGTTGTTAAAGGTTATTTTTTTTATTTCTAGTCGTCATCTCAGAAAACAAAAGGAAAATTTAATATTGTTTACTTTTCATAGTACACCTATTCTAATCATTTCACTCATGGTTCAGGTCTATACTATTTACAATATATTTCACGAACTAAAGTTACATACTAAAATAAAAGTCCCATTAAAAGACCTTTGCTCAATCCTATCGTATAACGGAACAAAACAAAGAATACAAGTTTCATAATATCTTAATGTGTCTATGTGTTGTTAATTGTTTGTACAGCGCTCCTAATATGGAACTCAAGTTCCAAACTAAAATAAAAATCCCCTTAAAGATGAAACCTTTGTTGCGTTATCAAATTTTATATACCGTATGTAGCATTTTGAATAGTGCTTCTTCATATTTTATGTACTCGTATACTAGAGTGTTATTATTTAAAATTAATCTAAAATCATATATCGTCATCATCGGCCTATTTAATGCCCCCACTCTTGGGGAATAGGCGTTCCCTATGAACAAATCGAATCGAAAGAAAAAAAACATTTTGTGAGTACGTAAATAGTAAGATAATTAGTTGATTGAATCATTTGAGGTAAACAATTACATTTCACATTAAAACATTAACATTAAAGTGATTAAAGAACGAGAAAAAGAGACAAAAGAACAAGGCAGAATCATAATGGTCAAGGCTTAGTGCACTAACATCACCCATGTGCAGGTGAAGCACTGGTTTTCAGCCCTCGCCCACTGGAGATGAGCAGGGACAAAATAATTTAGCTTTGAATATTTTTTTACAATCGACTAGATACATATAAATTAGGTTTACTTCGGTCTCTTCGCATAAAATTCAACATTAGTTTAAGCAAACTGCATTTTTTTCAATGATTTGTTAGTTGATATTTGTTTTATTAGCCTTAATTAATTACACATTAAAAGCGCATGAAATTACCTATTTGGGATATTTTA